TGAATAAAGCACTTATCATTTTGCAAACGGTCAGTATCTCAAGAGCATATGCGTCCTTCCGCATTTTGATAATCTCATTCCTTGAGGACACCTCTTCCATATTATTGATCGGTTCCTCTATTTCTGCTTTTGTCACACCGCTAGTAAGTATAACTTGACCTTGGTCCAATCTAGACGAGCTAATATTACATAAGTCACTCTTCTCTTCATATTCCTGCTCAACAATTTGATCTGAATCCAAAGCGTCCTCCTCCTCATTTTCACCTAAATCCATTTCATCAGGCGAGGATAGCACATTATCATCGGATTCTGAATCGGACGAATCTACATGTCTATCTATGCTTTTCCTTCTGAAACATCCATCTTCATTTAACTCTGATAAATTCCTTCCTCCTAATTGCGGCATCACGTTCCTGTTCAACGGGGTTAGGTTCTGGGAGGAATTTTTAAAGAACGTTTACAAAGACAGGTGTTGTATACATTACGCATATGTATAATATTTATAGTTCATACGTATGCACCGCTCTCTGCATTTAAGCATCTGGAAGAAGGGTATAGAGAATTCTATGTAAGAGCATAATGAAAGATTGCAACAGAGTGCGTATTATTTATTACAAAAATGTTTACTCCATATAGCTTACTGGTAGCAAAATATAAATGGCGACAACAACAGATGCAACCAAACACGAGTGAAAAAAGCATCTTCGCGAGTTAAGGCCATGTGAGTCTGCCTTCCGCAGCAGTGAGGCGGCGGAACATTCTCCGTCCGCCCTGCTATTCTTAGGTCAGCATTCGTCAGCCGAAACAGATTTGGATTGGCTGAGAGAAGCCATAGTGGCTTAATTTAATTTCTGTGCTTTATATAAGTATACATAGAAAAGGGTTATCACGTGTGCGAAGATTGCTCTAAATTTATAACAGAGAGTAGTTGGGTTATTTTATCATAAACACGTCAAGATGCAATAAAATATATTGAAATATGCTAATTTATGATGAAATATGATAAAATCTGCAGAAATATCTTGAAATATGTTGAAATATGTTAGAATCCGTTGGATATATTCAGATAGGTTAAACTACGTCCGGATATGTAGTAAAGAGTACTTCATAAAGAGTTTGGAAAATTAAGAAATTTTAAAAAAAACAAAGGCATCTAAATAAATAAATTAAGACATCCCAGAACATTTCTTTAACCAATAAAAAAAAAAAAAAAAAAAAGAAATATGTCATAGGAAATGTATAAAATTTATTTCTTCACTGACACTGGAGGCGGGTCGAAATATTCATGGAACAAAAGGGCGTGAATTTCCTGTTCCTAAGCAGAAT